AACACACACACACATACACAATGTTTAGGAATTTCACATTATTGGAAGATCTGATACAAAAGGAGAAAGACAATTCATTGTGAGGATATGTTAATAGAAACAGCTTTGGAAATAATACGGACAAAATAATTTGCAAAGGACACTAAAAGCTGGTTATAATTATGTTGCATGCATTGAAGACTATTCAAAATTCAGTATTTTAAATAGAATATCAAACATATAGAAATGTAAAAAATGAAAACATCTTTTCTGGATGCAATGTACAGTATTTTAATACTGATTAGGTTAGCTTAGGCATTCAGACAGAAAAGTAATGAAAATAAAACTTCGTACCAAATAACACAGGGATGTATAAAAGGCTAAAACCCAAAACCGGTGAGATAGAAAATAAACTAGATCAACTAAGAGGACTGTAATATTTGTGTAAATCAAGGAATATCTTAAAAATTGGAAAGTGCAAAGCTATTTAAGGAAACAATGCTCAAAACTTCCCCACACTTGATGGGACTCTTTAGCAGGTTTGTATGTATATATAGCATACACATAAAATCTGGAACAAAGGAAAACATTCTTCTAAGCAGAAAAAAGACCCACTTTTTGTATAAAGTTACAATATGATTGGATGTCAGTTTCTACTTTGATCTAGGCCAGTTTAGAAAATGATAAATTAATATTCTTTATCTGTTCCGAATAAGAAAACATCTGTGCATTATAATATACATATTTATAGAGAACAAGAAGATAAAATCTATTTCTGCATAGGTATTATGACAATGAACAGGAATATAATCATGTATATGTTAATATCAAAGTATAATTCAGAATTAGGATATTGTCAACAATCATGTAGAATGGTTTAAAGATGAGAAATTAGCTAATTCAGTGAGAATTAATTATAATTCTAAACTATTAAATACATCGTTTTTTCACAATTTCAACATGCTCGGGCCAGGACCTAATAGAATAATAGAATTAAGAGGAAAAATGCAGAAATCTACTGGTATAATTACTTAAAAAACAAAATTCCCAGGTTTTTGTATTTTTCCTTGAGTCAGCTCTGAGCATATCCCATGGGACAAAAATACTGTATCTGTTTGTGTAAGCTCTGGTTCTCATCCCCCTCCCCATGGCATATGGTTTAGTCAAGAAGTTTAGGAGTAACATCTTATATCACTATTCTAGATTATGTTTTTCTTTGTAAACTGGAAGGAATTAATTTCTAAGAAACACATTGATTATGTATGCAGCAAATGTAACTTCCCTCGGTATGGCTGTATTTGACCTCCATTTCCTCCATTTAGTGCTCTGATAAAACACTGTTTTTTCTTACTTTAAGAACAAATTTTATCTTTCTTTGTTTTCATTCATTTTGAAAACTTGTGTGATAGCTGCCATTGGAGAAAACAAAGAATTATATTGTTGGTAATTTCAGAGTCCTGAGCAAAAATACACTGAACAGCTGTTTGTAAATGCTGAACAGCAAGGAGAATTGAGGATGGGATATGGATTGTTTTAACCCAAATAAGATATTTTCTAGAAAACTGAATATGATATGGGAAACATTTTTTTACTGTTTGAATGCTTGATACTACAATTCTCAGGAAAATTGAGCCACAGTCTTTTTGTGATCCTGTATGGAGGGAATAAATAAGCACTTATCCCTTTGTGTAGGGAAAAGAGATCAGATTTCCAATGAAATATATATAGAGAGAAAGCCTGTGCTCCAATGAGATGATTCTCCTTCTCTTGTTCAATAATAGTATTCATCTTTTGTAATGGATTTTTTCAAATGGCTTTAAAAAATTCACCAGGTATAAGACAATGTCTGCTTTGGACCTCAGAGAGTAGAGAGTGAGAAAGGAGTTACAAATAGAGTGAATGCATTATTAATGAATCACCCTGCAGCTGTCCTTAAAGACTGCCAGGAAACGTCTATACATTTAGAAGACACTCACCTGGAAAAAACAAAAGCATGGGAGATAATATCCATTCTTTCTGTTGTATTCAGGGAAATGTTCTCATGGCTTGACCTTTTCATATCCCCTGTCACTGCTCCCTAGGCAAGCAAGTCTCTTGGTGAACAAATGGAAGTCTCTTCCCCAGGAAATATAATCAATATTGGATGGCATTAAAATAAGGAATTTATATTTTTGTCTTTTAGATGAACTAAAATTCATTGTATTGTATTTTGTTCATGTTAATTAATTTCAGTAAACCAATTTTAAATAATATTTTGCATTCTCTATGTCTGAATTAAAAAACCCTGAAACTCAACTATTTTAAAAAATAACAGTCTACAACTTACATATATGTTGATAAAAATGATGCATTAATTACATATGCATACTTAATTATAATTGGTTCCATAGTTATCTCAACTAAGCTGCATAGACTGTAGAATTTTATCTCTGTTCTAGAATAGACGATTGAGGAATAGAGAGTTCTGAAATATGAAGAGAAAAAGTTTCTGTGTCATGAATGACCACAATTAGAAGATATAAATTAGATCTTTTACTAAATGTTACAAAAGAAAAGATTTATGAGTTCCTTAAAATGATGTTGATACCATTTAGAAGTAGATAACTTTATTCACAATCTCTAAAGACTTAATTTGATAGTTTTTTATTATTGAAGTAGTCCACCCAGAATTCATTTTTATATCTCTAAAACATTGACGTCCAAAACTCTGTTAGTGTTTAGAAACTCCGTGAACTGTGATGCAAGAATGTAAGATAAAAAGCATCATTCTTCCTCATTTTTATACATAGATGTTCAGAATTCACATCCTTTTGTACAGTTCCATTTTATTCTATACTTATTTACTCTTTGCTTGTTTATAATATACTTTTCAATAACTAGTTTATAAAAACAGGGCTTCCTGCAATACATCATTAAAGTGATAATAATAATGTAAAGAACAATACCTAAGGAAAGTCCTTTTATTTTTATATACTAAAACAGTTTAAGAAGCAAGAAGCATGCAATGAAATATGAAGGTTTTAATTATCGAGCCTTCTAGTTTTAGGAAAATATAAAATTCCAAGAACATTTTCTCCTATGTCTCTGTAGTAATCAATAGTGGTGTAAGACTTCCATCTATATCATGACGATTGTAAAAGTTTGACACTATTAAATAGTGCTGTAATATAATCCATAAGCTTGGGGTTGCTATATTAATATTAAATAGAACACTAATACAGACCAAGAAAACTAGAATATGGGGCTAAATGATAAAGAGACATTTAGAATACATAGGTAATTTCTTATGAAGTCTTAACAATTATAACTTTACTGACTTAATAATACTTTCCAAGATGATTTTGGTGGCTAATCATAGAAATCCACAGAACCATTGCAGAAAATTTAGATAAGACATCAAATATCTGAAAACTTTTTTTAACAGTTGGCATTATATAAAGTCTAAGAACTGTATAACACTATTATATTAAAGTTTATGTTAGCCAACAAACTTACATAATGCTAATATATGTAATAATATCGATAACTTTAAAAGTACTCTTACCAACGAGTAGTTTTTAGATATGCTAGAGATAAAAATGGAAAGAAATAATAAGAAACCCTAAACTATGAAACTCTAAATAACGTAAGAAATTGAAAGACAAGGTAGAATAATTTTGAGATAAATCATTCTGCATCCAGTAAATAGAAAATAGATAAAAAATACAAGAGCACTCTTGACAAGTATAACCAGTAAATATAAACCAAAAAATTTTAGATAATTGTCAATCAAATGTAATCATACAATAAAGGGATGGTGACCATATAAGATTTATATGAGAAATTCAAGGTTAGTTCCCTTTCAAAAATGTCATACTAAAAAAAAGAAAACATTTTAAGAGAGGGAAAATCAACTTACAAGCATTCTAAAAGTTTATTACTGAAATTGCCTGAAAGCTAGGGAATGTGTAGCCTTTCCTAAATATTGGATAAATGACATATTTTAGAAACACCACCTATTTCATGGTCAATACTGAAAATTTCTCCAAGCCCAAGATGCTTGCATCTGGCACTTGATTCACACTTTACTGATCTTACTGACTATGATAATAAAGCAGGAGAAAGAAATGAGAGGCAAGGTCCCAGAAAGTACGTGCCCAAATGTTTGCCCTTTATATTGCTTATGTAGAAAATTTCATAGCACCTACAGAATTGATAGAACAGTGATTGAACAGGTATTAGGATATACAGTTAATGTTAAGAAATGTGCTCATGATTTTATATTAAATATCCAGAAAACAAATTTAAAACGATTCCATTTAACATTTTTTCAAAAAATATTTTGGAGTAATAAGTTTAAAGAAAACATATATTATCTTTATAATATGGCTGAGAACATTTTTAAACGAACGAAGAAACAATTTAAAATCAGGTTTATACATTATGTATCAGTTAATTTGTAAAAATTTAGGAATTCATGCATTAAATATATGGTTTATTATACATCAATAGCTATAAATGTAGAAGAAATGATAAATAAATAAATCAATATGTCTGTAGATCTTTACAAAATAATGTAGTTCTAATGTAAATAATTAAAACCATATGGATCTCCATTATGAATGTATATTTAATCTGGCACTACTGCTCCTGTAGTCAAACAAGTAAAATATCAGCAGATTAATTACAAATGTCTGACTGAAAAAATGGTTAATGAAACTGTACACTTACACTAGGCAAGTTATTAATTTTGAACAGGTAATAGTAAATATTTTTCAAGTGGTCTTATATTTCTAGTCCCAAGGCACATAACTTGGCTCACTATATCAATATTAAATAATTATTACCCATAAGCAAAACTCTGTTTATAATTTCTTGTTCTGCTCTTTTTTTTTTTTTGGTAGTAGTACAAAACTTTAATCCCAGCCCTAGAGAGGCAGAGGTAGGCAGATCTCTGTGCATTTGAGGCCAATATGGTCTACATAGTGAGTTCCAGGACAGCAACACTGTTGCACAGAGAAACCCTGTCACAGCCTTGAAGCTCAGGTTGCCTTCAGTATGAGTTTTTTGAGGCCCTCAAATGCTACTCTGACAGACACAGGCATTAACATATCAATGACACAATAAAAGATTTTGTCTGGCATAAAGACAAGGAAGTAAAAAACTTTACCATAATCACTGAAATTACAGGGTTTTCCTGTAGTATGATTTTTATCTCATAGTTTTGAAAACTGCTGATATGTGCCGTATAGCGTTGATTATATCTGCTGGGATTCTCTCCAATGTTTTCTTCTATGTATTCGAAGATAACTGTGCTTTGCAAAGGTTTCAACACACTGATTACATTTGTAAGGTTTCTCTCCAGTATGTATTTTTTTTATGTATTTGGAGACTACCGAGATAGGCAAAGTCTTTCCCGCATTCATCACACGCATAAGGTTTCTCTTGAGTATGTGTTCTTTTATGTAGTTTAAGCTGTCCATTACTTGAAAAAGCTCTACCACATTCAGTACATTTGTAGGGTTTCTCTCCTGTATGTGTTCTGATATGTATTTGGAGATGACTTTGTTGTGAAAAGGCTTTACCACATTGACTGCATTCATATGGTCTCTCTCCAGTATGAGTTCTTTTATGAGCTTGAAGATGATTGTGACGTGCATATGTTTTATGACATTGATCACATTTATAGGGCTTCTCTCTAGTGTGTGTTCTTTTATGTATTCGAATATAACTCTGGTGTGCATAAGTTTTACCACATATATTACATTCATAGGCTCTCACTCCAGTATGTATTATTTCATGCATTCGGAGATTACTTTGCTCTGAAAAGACTCTACCACATTGATTACATTTGTGAGGTTTCTCACCAGTATGAGTTCGTTCATGTATTTGAAGATGACTATAATGTGCAAAGGCTTTACCACATTTATTGCATTCATAGGGTTTCTCTCCAGTATGTGTTCTGATATGGATTTGGAGATTGAAGTGCTGTGAAAAGGCTTTCCCACAATGATTACATTCATAAGGTTTCTCACCAGTATGTGTTCTCTTATGTTTTCCAAGCAGAAAAGCACAAGAGAAGGCTTTCCCACATTGATTATACTCATAAGGTTTCTCTCCAGTATGCGTTCTTTTATGTATTTGAAGACTACTTTGGCATGTAAAAGCTTTACCACATTGATCACATTCACAGGTTTTCTTTCTAATACGAACTCCTTTACGTCTTTGAAGATGCCTGGGATATGAAAAGACGTTAACACATTGAGTATATTCAGAGGGATTCTCTCCAAAGTGACTTCTTTTGTACCTTCCATGTCTTCGAGAAGTTTGGCAATGTTCTTCAATATTATGATCTTTGCAATTGTTACCTATAACAGTGAGGTTCCAGTAAGTCTCCAACATCACATCTTTGTAGAGATTCTTCTGGGAAGGATTCAGCAAAGCCCATTCTCCCCGAGAAAAGTCGATATGCACGTCATCATACGTCACTGCATTCTGCAATCCAATGACTCAGAAGGCTCAGGCAGTATTAACACCATGAATACACGCTATCCATGGCCGGCTCCGCCTCCCAGCCTGGGGACAGCAGCTGCTGACTCACTAAGGTGCAACTGCCTGGCTCACCAGCGCTCTCTCTTGTTCTGCTCTTAAGAAAAAAGTTTGTCTGCCAATCATAAAGCAATCAGCTATCACATAATCTAAAGAACACAATTAATCTATGAATTTGTGACTGACCTCATGCAAAATTGTTTAGTCATTTTCTTGATATTTTATTGTACAACTATTCTGCCATACTTAAACTTTTTCTTTTCTTAAAAATAGGATATGGAAGAGTTTGGGAGAAGGAAACTATAAAAATTATACATTGTGTGAGAAACATCTAGTTTCTATAAAACAAAAAACTAAAATGTCAATTTATCACAAGCAAAACATACATAGACAATGTTGTGGTTCAGATATTTTAAGTATTATATATATTTTTTTCATAAATGATGCTATGAAAACTGATATTCCTACTATGCATGTTAACTTGCTTGTCTAAATTATTGAATTCACAGATACCTAGGAAATTGCTAAAGCATATCTCTGCTGTGTTTATGAGGATATTTTTAGATAAGATAATGGAGGGAAGACAGGTCCTAATTGTTGATAGAAACATCCTATCAACTGGGGGACAAGAAGAATATAAAGGACAGGGAGGATAAGTCGCTACAAAGGTACGTGTTCCCTGCTTCAAATTCTAGGCTTCTATGAGAAAGATGCTCTCCTGCCATGCCTTCCACACAATAATATACTCAACCCCTTGAAACCAAGATCAATTTTACACCCTTAAGTGGTTGTCACTGGTATTTTGTCACACTTACTTAAAAAGATGACAAATACACTTACTTTAAAGCTTAAGATCATATATGAACAATTTTTGATTTCATTGCATAGTCTGTTGACCTGCATTAGCCTTCCAACTTTATAAAAATTGTAACAAATCAATCCTCTCACACCATTTAACAAAAATATATCCACAAGGCACTCTAATGAACAAAACAACATATACTTTTATATTTATGTCAACATTCACATCTTAAAAGGACTCAGTGTGGTAATATTTATATGTATACATGTGTGTGTGAAGAGAGAGAGAGACAGAGTGTGTGTGTTTATGCATGTGTGTGTATGTGAGAGCCTGTGTGAATATGTGTATGTGTGTATAAGTGTATACATATGAATTTTCTATCCAAATAACTATAAAGTACAAATTCCTGACTAAAACTGCACCATGACTTGTTCTTTTCATCTAGACAAGGGCTTTATGCCGAATGAACACCTCAGCCTTTCTCTTTGTTCTTTCAGGCACACATTAAGAAGATGTTTTTCTTCTTTATTAACATTTAGGAAGATCTGCTAATATTAATTTCACAAAATGGTGACCTTCTAGTAGTAGATTTCTAAGTTCTTTTTAGTGAAAAGAATCATCATGAAAGGACATAGTGCAATCATGCAGTTTTCTTTCCAGTTTTGCTAGTTTTGCACTGCATTCATTCATACAGCCAGTAGATTGTGCACTGCCATGCTGTCTTGCCTTGTTTGGTTAGTGGAATAAAGATGCACTGTCAGAGATGGTATATTCTGAATAATGGATAACTGAGAGTCCCCTGACACAGGTTTGATGGCCATAAAATATGAGCTTTGTGATTGCCCTTATATTCATACTCTGGGACTGACTGGGGGATATTATTTCTAAATGCCAAGCTAACTCTAATTGTGGCCAGTTTCAGTAGGTGATTCTCTCATTAGTGTTTGGAGCAATTACAGAGAAAATGGATTGGTGCAATTTTATTTCTGCATTGATAGAATCTATTCTTACTATTGCATTTTAGCTATTCAGATTCAAATCAGGCTTCTCATCACAAATGTTCTGTTTGCGACAAATGCTGCAAAAGACTTGAGCTTACCGCCCCTAATCACGATTGATTTCCAATGAAGTCAATGCATTTCATTGCCAGTAATGTCATATTAAATCAACAGGTAGAATGAACTTCCCTTTTACTTTGTGACAATTACTTAACATATTGACATCCTGATATGTTATTTATCACTTTCCTATCATAATGATACAATCCCTTACGACACTATAGAAAATCACAAAATAATCAACAGAAGGTTTATATACACAATGGACCTCACACAAGAAAACAATGGAAGCACTGGATTCATGCAAAATCATGTCATCTTGAAATTCGCAGGTAAATGGATAGCACTGGAAGAAACCATCCTGAGTGAGGTAACCCAGTCACAAAAAGACAAACATGGTATGTACTCACTCATATATGGATTTTAGACATGGATCAGGAGAGTGCCAGTCTGCACTTCCACTGACACAGAGTCTGGGAAACAGGAAAGAACCTAAAAGATATGCATGGTACCCAAGAGAAGAGAAATGAGGCAAGATCCTCTGAACAGATGGGAAACATGGCAAGGGGTGGGGGGGGAGGAGACCTGGGAAATAGAGAGGGGGAGAAGTGGAAGAGAGAGTAGGACATGGAGGAACAGGAAGGTTAACTGGGGCAGGGTAGGATATGGGGAAGAGGGAATCATAGGTTAGAAGACAGATTAGGCACCATTGTGACCTCTAGTGATCTAAAGGGATGACACCAATTGGCAAGCTAAGCAATAGTGTAGAGACCACCTCGAATGACCATTCCTGATAGTGAACTTGATGTCTATAACCATCCTGGAGCCTTCATCCAGTGACTGATGGAAGCAGAGGCAAACACCCACAGTTAAACACTGAACTGAACCCAAGGAACCCAGCGACAGAGAGAGAGTAGCAATGAACAAATTGACAAAGAATGGGCTGGCAAAACCAGCAGAGATAGCTGATCTGAACAGAGGAGAGCTCTTGGACCCCAGACCGACAGCTGGGAGGCCAGCACGGGACTGATCCAGACCCCCTGAATGTGAGAGTCGGTGAGGAGGCCTGGGCTATCTATGGGGTCCTGAGCAGTGGATCAGTGTTTATCCCTCGAATACTAACAGACATCGTGTGTCCATAACACAAAGAGGGATGCTCTCTCAGCCTGGACTCTTAGCAAAGTGCCTGAACCCTACCCTGAGTGAAATGACAGACTCTAGATAATCCCCTATGTGGAAGGAATTGGCAATAGGGTGGGAGGATGGGGGGGTGGTGAGGGGGTGCTCGAGGAGGGGAGGGAGAGGGAACTGGGATTGACATGTAAAACAAGCTATTTAAAATTTAAAAAAATCATGTCAACTGTTGTAAGAAATTTGGATTAGCAAGTAAAGACAAATATATAGAGAAGAGATTTACTTCCTTGAATGAAAATTCTCCTTTTTGTCACATATTCCAGTCATAATGACCTAACCACAATGTCTTAAGTACAGATATTGAAGGCAAACAAGTTATCATTATTAGACAACTAAGAGAAAAGAAAAATGTACATACAGTTTCTTTCTACCATAATTATTAAGATCCAGCATTTCCCTGATGGTCAGAAAGAGAAAACTTATCCAATGTATTTTGTATGTCCTATGCATATAATGAAAGACACAACACAGGGTTTCTTTCATTATAGAAATTTAGAGCTTACATTACATTTAGATCAGCATCTCCAAATTGAAGGGAAAGAAGAGACAGAATAGGAATATGTGTATGAACTTGAGTATTCATGTGTGTGTATGAAGAATGACATTTAATACATGGTACATGTGAAACTGTAGTCTCCAAGACCAACTTTCCAAGAAATAAAATAATTGAAAACAAGCCACCTTCTTCTTTTAACAGAGTATGTGTCAATAGCTACTCACCTAATCTCTCGATGGAATAGTACCGCTGCTTACTGTCTACACGTATTGTCTCAGCATAAGGACTGCCAACACCATATCCAATAATATAACCTCTCACAACGATGTTTGGGTTGAGAGGAGGAGTCCAACTCATGATGATGCAATTTGTCTGTGGTCTTACATGAAGGGAGCTTGGCTGGTCAGGGACTTGAGACTCTAGGATTCAAACACAAATATCATCAGCAAGCACTATTATTGAGTTAGAAGAATGGCAAATATCACATTTAAATAAGACAATATGTTATTCCACCCATATGCCAAATACGGATTTATTATTCAGTCCTTTTTTACTAGCACCCACTAAACTGTCGTGTTTAATTCATTACAAGATTGTGTGTGTATGTGTGTGTGTGTGTATGTGTGTGTGTGTGTGTGTGTGTGTGTGTATACACATGTGGGACCTAAAGGTAGACATCTGTGTCTCCCTCTATAGATATCAACCATCGTTTAAAAGACAGTTTCTCTCATTGAATCTGCTACTCACTCACTAGAATGACTGCTTAGTGAGCTCTGGGGATCTGCTTGTATGTCCTGTTTCAGCACTGGACTTATAAATGTGTCCTTGAGGGTCTTGTTTTTACATTGCTGCTGGGAGTTCAAATTGAAGTCATCATGCTTGCCTGGCAGCACTCTTCTGATAGAACTACCTTTCCTTCTGTATCAAGGAATTTCTTCCAACATATTTTGATCATATTATTCCCCTTTCCTCAGTACCCCACCCAGAATTTCTCAAACATTTTTTCTGTAGCCATGTCTAGTGTCATGCATCTTTGTTATAATAGCCTTTTTCTTCATATATCTCTTAAGTGTCATTAATAAATTGAAAAATTAAGGCAAAGAAAATAATTTTAAATATCATAAAATAACCAATTTGATTAGTCCAAGAAATATTCACTGAATTTAAAGAAATATAAAAAATATTTGTACCAATCTTATTTTGAGAAATTGTTAGAGAAAGTCGGGATAGATTGCTCAGCTACTTGTAGCTTGTACTGCTCCTCAAGAGGAATGTACTTAGGTCCATCATTAATGCTGGATGACTCAATCACCTGTAACTCAGACATCTTCCTCTGGCCTCTATAAGCAACCACACAAATGAACATATATCCCATCTCCCAAATAAGTATATACATATAATTTAAAAGCAAAATAAAATATTTGAGCAAAAGGATTGTCAAGATGAGCAAAATTGAGTTGTGACCTGCCCTGTGTGACTAAAAATATACTTGGCTCACAACTTGTTAACTCAGGTAAAACACGTTATTTGAAGAAAGGAGACAGTATCTGGGTTGAAGACACATAGGTCGAGATGTTGGGAGATTTTGGTTTCATACCATGTTCTGTCATTCACTAGCTTCATTTTCCTAATTAAATTGACATGCCAGATAGTACTCTATTCAAGTTAATAAAGAGCTAAATTAAATTCTGTACTAGATTCTAGCTGTGAGACTGTACAATGTTGCTTATAAGCCTCTGCTCCCTCAGCTGCATGATGAAGATAAATTTGGGAAGAATTTCATAGGATATTGAAAAGACTTAATGAGAGATAATGCATAAAAATTCTTATTATGAGTAGTACCTAAGTTCTCAAAAGATATTGGATATTAACAAGGAAATTTGTATAGCAGTCTAACATTTTCTTTTAAAGAGAGGTATACAAAAATAATGAATTTTACTACTAAGCTGACATGATTGCTACATCATCATTCTAAAATATGACTATATTCCTAAAAGACACTGATACTTATTCAGTTAATACAGATACACTCCATTGCTGAGGGTAGTCAGAGCAGGAGGATGCCATGGAGAGGACTACTTACTGGCTTGCTCAACTTACTTACTTATATATCCTAGGACCACGTGTTCAGGGGTAGAACTGCCTGCAGTGGGTGTGGGTACCCCCACATCAATCGTTATCAACAAAATGCTTATCTACAGGTGAATCTTAAGGAGGAATTTCCTCAACTGTGATTTCTTCTTCTCAGATTCTAACCTGTGCTGGTTTACACAACAAAAGGAACCATGAAAATAGGGCCATGTATCTATGACTGAATACAGAGATGGAAATGGTAGACACAATACCTAGATTCTTGTAGTTTATACCATAATGAGAAAAATATACATGCAAGTAAATATTTACAGTAAATTGTGATAAACATTTTGATATATATATGATATTTATATACACATATCTGCATTTATCCCTGGCATACAAATGGACTTTGGGTGTCCATTCAACAATGAGAGATGCATTCTCACCCTGGACTCTTGGGGAAGGATCTAGGCCCTGCCCTGGATGAAATGACAGACTATGGACACCCCCTCACCCTCCCTGGGGAAAGGAGGGGGTGTTGGGAGGTTGGTGGTAGGGCGTGGGAGGAGGGGAGGGAAAGGGAGAGGGATAGCATCTTTTTTTACTTGAAAATTTTATTTTTTATTTTACATACCAACTCAAGTTCCCCCTCCCTCCCTTTCTCCCACTCCTTCACCTCTGCCCTTTCCACCCCTATCAGTTTCTCAGAGGAGATAATGCCTTTCTTGGGTAGTCAACGAAGTCTGACATACCAAGTTGAGGCTGTACCAAGGATGAGCAAGTTATCCTACCTTAGGGAATGGGCTGCAAAAAGCAAGTTCATGATCCTGGAATAGGTTCTGATGCAATTTTCAGCCTTCACAACAGATCAACCCACATTCAGAGGGCCTATTTTGGTCCCATGCAGGTTCCCCAGCTGTCATTCCATAGTTCATGAGTTCCCACTAGCAAGGGTCAGCTGTCTCTGTAGTATTCCCCATCATACTCTTCACCTCCCCTTGTTCAGATGATCCCTCTTCCCTCTCTTCAGTTGAACTCCAGGAGTTCAGCCCAGTGCTTGTCTGTGAGTTACTGAATCTGTTTCCATAAGTTACTGGATGCAAGTTCTATGATGACAATTAGGGTAGTGACTAATCTGATTAAAGGGTAACATCCATTCTGACATCCTCTCCACTGTTGCTGGGAGTCTTAGCTGGCATCTTTAAAGTGTTATCGCTAGAGTAACAGTTACACATGGTAATAAGTGTTCAACCTGCCCTTTGTGACCTGTTGGGGATCCTCCTCATCTCACATTGAACTGGAATATTTTTTGTCTTATATACATTCCTCAAGATGATTTCAGCATTGGACTTTTGCCTGGACTTATTGTATCTTGTTTTGTCCTATTTGGCTGTTGTTTCTTGAAGGCCTGCTCTTTTCTGAAGAGGAAAGAGAGGGGGAATGGATGTGGGAAAGAGGGGAAATGAGGTGGAGCTGGGAGGAAGAGATAGAGGAGAAACTGTGATCTGGCTATATTTTATGAGAGAAGAATCTATTTTCAATAAAAATTACACATACATGTATGTATGCAAGAAGAAATAATAGGAAATATCCTTAACTTTCTATATTAGAAAAGAAAAAATTAAAAATAAAAATAAGATTATAGATATGTGTGAATGGATGTTTAGAGGATTTTGTCAGTCATTTAGTATCATAGGGATAAAAGAAAAGCATATATCAAGGCAATATTAGAATCAGGAAATCTGATCCATAATATATGACAGCATAATCCTAATAACTAGGACAGGCAATTGTCCATAATTCATAAGATACAATCCATACACAACTACTCACTTCTTAATATGAAACAGGATTAACAATTTACCTATTATTCATCAGAATGAACTTTCCCTCATACATTTGACCCTATAGGTTATAAAAACAGTTAGTATTTAAGTGAACTATAAAATATCAATCCAATCATTTCTTAATAGGAGTGTGTGACTTGAGCACCACTTCTTAAGGATCCAATTTTGAAATTTTCTGCTCAGAAGTACTTGAAAAATTTTACAATCATCTCTAGGAGAGTAACTGCATGTATAAAACATAAAGAAGCTACCAGAATAATTACTGAAATAATCTGAAATCAAAGAGAGCTCATGATACCGGAAGTGCTCAAATTAATGATGCCCCAGTCTTCTACCTATACTTGAGTGATTATGATATGGAAGTCCAGTGCCATTCTTGACGATGTGACAGGATTTTTTTCTATAATGCATATGTTCTCTCTGAGTAATGATTATAAGTTTCCACTAAAGAATAATGTTTTTGAAATTAGCAGCTGTGACATTTCAGTCATTAAACAACATTGCTAGTAGGCCAATAATAGTGTAGATATTGTGTCAGTGGAAAAATAGAAAAGTAAATAAACAGAATTTAAAAGGAAAACAGGTGAACTTGGTAAATGCTTTTCTAACAGTTCAGTAAGTGATGCACAAAGGACATTTCCTTTCACAGTCTAAAGTGTGTATTAACAAAGTCTAGCAAATTTGTGAAATTTGAGACATTGAAAACAACTGCTACAAAGACCTGCTAAAGAATGTGTTTGGTATTTGAAGAAACCAAAGAAACTTGAAGCATGGAGTGTTAGAAAATTCAAATGAGTTAGCTAGTGAGAATGTTAGTGTTGTTTCAATTTCCCCAGAAAATTAATAGAATCGCCATGATTACATGATTCATTTTCTAAGTATGACTACACATGTACATATTCATATATACATATGCATGGTAAACTGGAAATAAAATATTCACAATCATTGATTAACACATACCAACAGGAGAAATAACCCAATGGACGAATGTGTAATGACAATGTGACAAACCAACTGACTATCTTTCAACCTTAAAAAGGAAAAGATTTTGAATATGTAAATGTCAGTCAAAGTATCTAGTAACCAAGGAATAGAATTCATTCCATTTATATTAGTCGGAATACCCAAATTCAAAGAGCCATAAAGTAGAATAGTATTTGGCAGAAGGAGAAGAAAGAAATTATTGTTTAATTGCTTCATCATTCAGCTTGGTAAAAAGGCAGTGTAGAGATGGACGATGGTGATGCTTGAAGAAGAAAGTCACTATCCTCAATAGAGTGAAACTGAATACTGCATACTTAAGGTGAGGTATATGTTATGTCTATGTGTGCACAATTGAGATTGGGGAGGAAGATGGCTCTCAACTAAAGTAACTACATTTGTTGCCAAGCTTGACAGGGGCTTGATTCCAGAACACATGTGGTGGAAGGAAAATACCAACTCACACAAGTTGTCCTCTGACCAGCATACATATGTCATCACCACACGCATGT